ATAACTACTGTCTATATGTAAAATGTTTCCATAGTTCAGGCAGAAAAAAAATAAACACATGACATTGAATTTATTAAGGAAACACCATAAACAAACCCATTCTGAGACATCGTAAGGGAAAGAAACAAATATTCTATCAGCCATTATCACCCACCGAGAGTCTCCCTAATTTCATCTTTCCAAGCCAAGTGCCTTGCTTTTATTGAGAATACTTGGCACAGACTTATTTTCTTGGCAATTTAAGTAGATTGCCAACCCTTGACCCTATACCACTGTCTATATTTCATAATATCTTGTGGTTGCTTAATTCATAGTATTGATACTAAAAGTTAAATAACCTGTATATAATTCATTTTAAAAAAAAGTAGAAGTGATTTTTCTCCCTCTACCAAACCTTGTCGAAATTAGCTATGTTCGTTTTCTAACTTGTTAGCCAGACTGAATTGAAATTCAGTTCACTATATCTTAGTCATTACCTACACATTAGCACCACACTGTCAGGGGGTTTTAATACGCTTATTTATATGCGGCCTTTGGGCTTCCCAACACTATTATAAAAGCACGCTGACCTAGAGATGCCCATGTTTTCTCCAAGGGACTGAACTGTCTCACTCATATAGGTAACATTAAGGGCAAAGATTTATTTAAGTTCTGAAGCAGAGAGCTAACAGAATTACATAGAAGATACTGATATCCAATGCCAAGAAATGCTTAGAAAATAATAAAGATTAGATGGGTAATATAAAAGTTGATCAAATTTTAATCTAAATATATGCCATATGAAACTTATTTTTCTAATGCTACATAAAGGGAAATCATTTGGAGCCCCTGTTTGTGTATTTTAGCAACATTATTAGTTTCTCATGTTTCATTTTCTCCACTCACATGCTGAATCCACCCCTTTGAAGTAATTAGCATAATCACTAACATTATAAGATCATTTTCTTCACTCCAAATAAATGACCATCAAACTTGTGCCTACTCTCCATATTCAGAAAATGCTTAAATAGTTCATTATTACCCAAATGACTATGGGGAAATGCTGTGCATACGATGAAAGGAATAATGACTCTTACCCCCCACAATGAAGATGAAACTCTTCCACATAAGAATTAATTCATTGGAAAATATCCGGATATCAAGAAGATAATTGAAAGGACTAAAAATAAAATCAAATGCAATAGGTAATCTAAAGGTCATAAGATTTGTTGTTAAACAATGAAGAGTTTTTTTAAAATTTCAGTCGGTTTTATGAATATCACTGTTGTTTGCATTCTGAATATAGATTACTATTAAATAGATTTATTTTGTATCTAAGTGAACAGCCAATGCAAATGTATTTTGTGCTCTAAGCCTTCACCTATCAGCACAATACAGTCATATAAAAATGAATGGTCAAGAGAACACTAACATTAAAAGATACTTAAATTTTGTTAAAGTTACATTTTATAAGTAGGACTATAGCTTCTGTCCTTACTTCAGAACAACTTTAAATATGCAACCTGTCTAAATGAAAGTGCAGTGAATGAAAATATTTTTGATGTTACATGTTTCACATTTCTTACCACGCTAAATCTAAAAGAAATCTGAAACACTGAATAGTACCCATTTGACTAACAATATCTTCTGTTGATAATAGGTTTTATTGATTTACAGGTCAGAACTTATATTATCTGAAACAAATGAGAACAAATGAGGATGATAATATTATTCCCAGATTTTAAGAGATAAGCAAATTTGCTTATGAGACATATTGATTTGCATGCCATCACATCACACAGGGGACTAGGATATAATTACAGAATTTAAATTGCTTAATGCTGAACTTAGAGACCAAGTCTGAGCAAAACAGTAGCATTTTCTATTTGTACATGCATTCCTTTTTTTCTCAAGGAACTTCTGAGCTCATGTGGATCCCCAAACTCTAACACCCAGATGAACACACATCGGTGTGCAGTTGAATGTTTTTTTTTTTCTTTTTGTGTGTGTAGAAGAACTAGGGTGTAGGCCAGAGGTTTGAGGAGTGGGAGGGAGTGAGAGGATTCACCAGAGACAGAGCGGGGAGCATAGTAGGCAGATTTACTGAAATATACTGCTAAAGGGAGCAATGGGTGAGAACGGAGAGGTCTGCTGCGCCATATATGGGTTAGCTTCCTGGAGGGGGATCGAACTCAGGCTTCGCTGTTGATAGCACTGAGACTTAACCCCTAGGCCAACAGGGAGGCCTTGGTGTACACTGTAAAGCTGTAAGTCTATTGAGGCTGGTGTCCAGCTGTCTCCCTGCAAGAGACACATCATTAAGTATTTTGAAAAACACAAATGATGCACCCTCTCTAAGCACCTCCTCTCAAGGGAGACTTTCCAGCTAGAACTCAGTGCCTGGGTTATCTTTCGCTCTCCAATTATGTTCCACATTAATTTATTTTTGCTAAGATAAATTTATCAATATTCCAATCGCCTCATCATATTTTCAGCTTTTATTTTTGTACATCTCGAAAATTTCCATAGCTCGCTCTCAGTCCTCCATGACTTCATTTTCTCCATCATTCTTTTTAGTCTCCTGTTCCAGATAATAATTATTATCATTATTAAATGATGTCTACCACTCAGTATTTGTGATGTTTTGGGTACCTACTAAGATATTTACATGCAGAATAAGATTTGAACATGATTAAAATGTGTTGGAAGAGGACATATCAAACAAACCTCCAACCTCAGGCAGAAACAACATGAGTTCTTTCTGAACAGTGAGCGAGAGGGTCCTGATTTAATTATGTTGCAGCAGGCAATCATGATGAGGTGGTAGATTTGATCATGTTATCTAGATTCTTACAGTACTAGAGAGTCAGAACAGATAAGGCTCTCTCTCATCACTGTGGCCCAGTACTAATTGCTGCTATAAATATTTAACCCAAGTTTAATATCTATAGTGGCTGTCTACTAGAAGCTACTCTTAGCCCTTGGTATCAAGGTATGCATTGAATGTCTCTAGATGGTCATGCACCTACAAGTCATCATAGTCATGTGAGATTAGTGTGACAATTTTCCCAGTGGATAGCTTTGCAGGGTCTTAAAAAATGGAGTCATTTTCTTTTATCTATCTATCTTTCTTTCTATTTAACTTTTAAATATCCCTGTTTATTTTTTCATGGTATAGGATTTCTCCCCACAGGTGAGGTCACCATAGCATTCCTGCCATCCAAGTGTCCAGAGTCCTCCACCATTGTTCACTGCACTCTCCTATCCTCTCCCTGTCTGCTCTCTACCCTACCTCTCTCCCTTCCTCAGCATCTGAGATCTATTACCTGAAAACAACAGTCTCTTTTCAAGTGTCAGTCCTACAGTTTGTCTTCATCTGATACTTTGTTTGTTTCTCTAGTTTCCAAATATAAGTAAAACCTTCCAGTACTTATTTTTGTCTTTCAGGCTCATTTCACTTAGAATAATCCCTTACAGTTCCTTGTTGCTGCAAATGGCATGCATTATCCTTTTTGATTGCTGAGTAGTATTCCAATTTGTATATGTACTACATTTTCTTACTCCACTAAGCTGTCTGGGGGCATTTAGTCTGTTTCCATAGCTTAGCTACTATAAGTAGTGCTACTATAAACATAGGGGCACAGGTTTCCTTTTGAATTAATGTTTTTGTATACTTTGGACTGATATCTAGGAGTGGAATTACTCAGTCATATGGTAAGTCCATTTTTAAGTCTTTCAAGGAATCGCCACACTCTTTCCATAAGGACTCTGATAAGGCAATGATATGGAAGTTCTACAAAGTACTTATACAACTCAACAAAAAGGCTTTTTTCCTAATTTGCAATGATTATAATTTATTCCTAATTTCCAAATGGTCAATACATTTATCAAAAGTGCTTGATACAGTTTTTTAATAAAGAAAAGTGGGCTAAAATTAGAGCAGGATCCTATTACCAAAATAGCTAAAATTAAAAGGAGCAAATTAGGCTCCACACACGGATGGTAAAATTGCAATTACTTGAGGCAATCACTTGCTAACCACTTGGCCATATCCAAAATCTGGACATTTATACACCCAATAATTCCAGTTGTATCTATACCAATCAGAAGGACATGTATATGGACTTTAGCAGACATATACAAAATATCATAGTACATTATTCATAAAAACTCAGAATGGTAACAGGGTAATCCCCAGGGGAAGGGGAGGTGCCAGGTCCCTGCCCCACCCTAGGAAGCGTGGAACTAGGCAGGGAGGAAAAGCTGGACTAGATTGGGAGAGGGAAGGAAGGAATCAAGAAGACCAGGAGGAGGCACAAGGAGCAGAAATGTGTGGGGAGCACTTGCTTCTTGGCCTGGGATGTGTACCAGGAACCCAGGAGACATGGAAGGAGAAGCTTGAAAGATATAGACGTGGGTGAGAGACCCATGAGGAGGCTAACAACAGCAGCCTTTATATTAACTTGGATATTGATTTTGCTCTTTTCCTTCCAGATTTCTCTGGCCCCTTCATGTTCCCTGCCAGAAGGTGCCTTAGAAATGTGGCAAGGTTTGTGTCCCCACTTTGTGCCAACCCTGTTTGGCTGGACATTTACCCATGAGGGGATGGGTAACTTTGTGGGTAACTTGATTTGGAAACTATACTCTTTCTCTTCTCTTTATTTCACACTAAGTGTATTAAAGTTCTTTATTATTGAAGGTCTTATGCACTAGAGTATGCTTTATATTGTTGTGGCAAGTGGCAGAATCCATTTTAGAGCAGGCAGGTTTGAGGATCCCAGGATACCCCTTCACCATGCCCTGGAACAAAACCAGGAATACAAACAATATCCATCTATAATAGGATGGTTTTTATAGGCGGTAATGTATCATATAATACCATATATCAATGAGAAAAGAACAAATATTGCTACATGCAAAATATGGATAAATATTGAGCAGAAGACTAGCTATGGAAAGGTGGAGACTATGTTATTCCACTTATAGGAACTTGAAAACAGACAAAATTAAGCTCTGGTTACCTTTTACAGATGAACAGCTGAGACAGGCTCTGAATAAGGGTATTTACTTTGTGAAAGTTGACTGGCAGCTACTCCGATCCTTCACAAGGTAGTACTAAAATGCCATGGCTAAAAACAAAACAGAAAAAAACAATTTTGATCATGCCAGAAAGTGATTCATTGCTCAAGAGTTGGTTCACATCATCCAAGCACATCATAGGCATATGGGAAAACAGAATGCTAATTTATCAGTTAAATTAGTAAATATTGCTGTTTCATAGACAGTATTTTCTGTCAATATAACTGACATATTTAATCCAAGAAAACAAACTCCCACAAAAAGCGATATTATACAAATACGAGAATAAAAAATATGGACCAATGAAAGGCCTTTTTTTCCCCCACAATGTACAGAACATTTACCACACTATGTATAAAAGGCAAGTTACTTTAAGGAGCATTTAGTTACATTCAATGACCCTGGATAAAACTTATTATTACTCAAACACTTCATCAAGCTCATCCGATAGCCACATATGGCTACAGACATAATTTTGATAATCTATAAAATAGTTTGCTCTTGGCCTCGCCTGGTGGCACAGCAGTTGAGTGCTGGGTTGTGAAGCTGCCCGCAGCCTCTGCAGCACCGGTTCAATCCCCGGCCACCGGGCAAGGGTCCCACAAGGCAGGCAGACCTCTCCTGCTGTGCCCACTGCTCCCCTCAGCAGCGTACTTCGTCAGTCTGCCTGTTCTGTTCCCCTCTCTGGCTCTGGCGAATTCTCTCACCCTCCCGTGCTTCTGACTGTACCCAGTGCTTGTATAAATAAATTAGGGCCTCCCTGGTGGTGTAAGGGGTTACGTCTCAGCATTAGGATGCTATCGGCAGCCACTGCAGCATGAACTCGATCCCAGGGCAGGGAGCTACACACATGGCACAGCAGACCACTCCTGTCTCGCCCACTGCTCCCCTCAGCAGTGTATTTCAGTCAGTCTGCCTGTCTGCTCCCCACTTTGTCTCAGGAGAATCCTCTCTCACACACACCCCCCACACCTCTGGCCTACACACCAGTTTTTGTATGCATCAAAAAATAAATCTTTAAAAAATAGTTTGCATGTAAGAATGTCCAGCTACTGGGAGTTAGTGTGACTCTCAGAGAAAATCAAGAATTGATGTTATCTCATTTAATAACTGATCAGCAAACATTTAAAGACATTTTTATTAAATTTAAAGTCAATTTAAAGTCACATTTTTATTTTTTGAAGTGATAGATAAAACCAGTGTTAAGACTCAGGATGCGGCCTTTAACTTAGAGATACCAGCACTCATTCACTCAAGAGTTATTTATTGAACAATAGCTTTTTATAGGCCATCTATGGCTTTATTTGCTAAAGACCAGCTGTCTTCAGACAAGTCTTTGCCCTCAAGGTGAGCGCACACTGTAAGAAAGACAGACTAACGATGCCTATGTGCATACACAGATCAAAGGGAATTTTATGTAATGGTGCAAGCTATGAAGAAAGCGAAAATCAGGATTACGGGTAAAGATTTACTGGAATGGAGCACTGGTTTCCAGAAGGTCTTTAAGGGCAACTGCTCTGCTGAGGTCACATTGACACCCCCCACAAAAGATCAAATGCTGCAACCACAGTTAGAGTGGAGAGGAGAGCCATCCAGGCAGAGAGGACAATGGAATAAAGACCTGAGGCAAGATCAAGGTCAATACTCAAGGACCAGCAAGGGGCCTGATCTGGCTGTAACACTGAAAGGTGGTAGCAAGTGCAGCGGCAGGAAGGGCACAGGGCAGGTTTACTATGATTTGAGCAGACGGGTGAAGGAGGGAGTCCTAGAGCCCTCAGGAGCTTTTCAGGCTTTTATTAGGATTTACCAGGTACACGGCAGGCAGGGATGCCCGGGGTGCAGGGAAGCTGACAGGCCTCCCAGCCTCCAGCAAGCCCTCATTCTTTCTGGGCTCTCCGGCCTTCTCTCATGGCCTCTGCTTCACTGCTGGAGGTTCTGTTCTGCGTTCCTCTCTCTGCTGGCATCCCCGTGACGCCACCCTTATAAGCACAGTCTCTCAGCACAGGTGTACCCACCTACGCATGCCCACACCCCAATCCAGGTGCCCGCCACCAGGCATGCATTCAGGACCACAGTTATCCATCATCAGTCCTAATGGCTGGAGGGCAGAAAAGCCTGATACTTTACTTACCCCACACAAATGAAAGGGGAAAGACAGGAACCAGGTCATTCTGGGCCTTCAAAGCCATGATGAGTGTCTTGTGTTTTATTTGAACTGAAATGAGAAAACATGTGTAGGGGGTTAAGCAAAACAAAGCTAACGCCAATGCCTTGAAAGGATGACTCTGGAAATTGGTGTGGAAATATATGTCCATAATGAGAACACTTGGAAGTGAAATACTGTTTTAGCAGCATCAGCACAACAGACACGACATTGTCTAAAATGTTCTAGGGAAACACCCAGCTCCATGCCCTTTTCTTTACATTTTCCAGACAGTTGATTTCTTGGAATTTTAAGGTTAATAGCCTCACCATGCTTTCAGAGAAATCTAAGGATGTCTGAAATAAAGGACAGTCTCATCTCAAGGTTGTCCAAAGAGAAATTTAATTATTAAAAAAATAGCATATGACTTCACAGTGTCAATATGTAATTCAAAAAATCCCTTAGGTAACCAAAATTCGTAAGGGCACTTATGCCTTGCCTTCCGTAGTGGCAGGAAGGCACTGAACAGGTTTTCTATGAGCCCATGCAGACGGGTAAAGGAGGAATCCTGGAGCCCTTGGAGGCTTTTTTAGGTTTTAATTGAGTTTACCAGGTACACGGCAGGCAGGGGTGCTGGAGGGCCACCCTGGCAAGACTTCATTCTTTCTGGGTTCTCTGGCGTTCTCTCCTGGTCTCTGCTGGCGTCCTCGTGATGTCGCCTGATAAGCCAGTCTCAGCCCAGGTGTACCCACCTATGCATGCCCACGCCCCTCTCCAGGTGTCTGCCATCAGGCAGGCATTCAGGCCCGCAGGGGTCCACCATCCACACTAATGGACGAAGGGCGGAAAATCCTGATGGTTTTTCACCTACCCTACACCTTCTCTACTGAAGGAGTGAAGCATAGTGTCTAGGTTTGGTGGAAATTATCAAACTCAGAAATGACTTGCTTTTTTCTGTTAACCCAAATTCATGCAAATGAAAAGCACTGAGTTTGTCAGCTCATAACAGATTTGATATTTGCACTTGAAAATATGTCAAGCTACTTACCATCTTCGTGGTACATGAAAGCACAAGTTGCTCAGCCTATTTTTCCGTAAAACAAATGTTAGCAGCATGCTTAGGACATTATCTCTCCAACTGGCCATGTTCAGTTCACCCTCAGGTGAAACACCGAGGACTAAGAAACGGGTCAGGGATGAATCCAATTTCATTAACATCTGAAAGCTTTCATCTGGTAGAACATCCAGTCCTCCTCTCACAAAAAACAGATCCCTCCCAAGAAAGTTATTAGTCAAAAGGCCAAACTGGAGTCCCCATGGTGATTCTTCTAGTGCCATGAGTACTGGATTAAGTGAGGCAGATAATAGATGGCCTATTCACTGGGGAATTTATTTCAGCCCTTCTCAGGAAGCAGATGGAAATTTTAACCCACTCACATCTGATCTCAGTTTGGAGTCTCCTTTCTTTGCCTCCAAAGAACAGAGGTTGAATTTCAGGCTAGTTAAATCATTTCCCAGCTATGCTATCAGAGCACAACACAAAGCTGAAAATTATATGATGAATCACTGCTCTGACCTTCTGGCCTCATAGCTACCTAATTTATTTATCTTCTCAACCCAAAGTTCAGGTTATAGCAGAGAGAGGGATAAGGAGGAAGTAAGAAGGGGCTTCAGGGTGGAAGTTCTAGAATGAACCTCTCTTGACTTGATGTATGTGTGTGTGTATGTGTGATGTATGTGAGCATGCACACATGCTCACAACTGTGCTGGAAAAACTTTATTTCCTTTCCCAGATTCACTCCAAGTTCAGTAATTGGAGGCTCTAGTAGAACAAAGAGCAAGAGTAGAGTGAGGTGACTGGGGTTATTTTTTGACCCCAGTTCTCCAAAACAGAAGGTACGGCTCCATCTTCCCGCACTCTCCTACCCACTCACATCTCTCCTGTTCCCTTAACCTCCACGAAAAGACCCTGCATTAATTTCATCTTGTCCCTGTGTACCATTTTCTTCTTTCCTTGTTTGCTACACCAGCCACTATTTACAAAATTTGATTTCAAAATCTTATATGGTGAGTAAATGCCCTATGATCTGTGTAGTGGCAGGAAGGCACATTGCAAGATCTCTATGACCTGAGCAGACGGGTAAAGGACAGTCCTGGAGCCCTGGGTGGATTTTCAGACTTTTATTCAGCTTTTACCAGGTACACAGCAGGAAGGGTTGCGGGGGGGTGGGGGTAGCTGGGAATCTTCACTCTGTGCTCTCTGTTGTTATCGGTCTGCTCTCTCATTCAGCTACTCTTTCTCTTCTGCTTCCCCATGATGCCACCCTTGTAAGCCCAGTCTTTGCCAAGGTGTGCCCACTAATGCATGCCCACATCCTACTCCAAGTGCCCGCCATCAAGCACGTGTTTAAGACCACAGGAATCCATCATCAATGCTAATGGCGGGAGGGCAGAAAAGCCTGAAAATTTTTTCACTTACCCTACAGTCTGATACTATTATTTTACACTAGAAGATGAAGGATATAAGCAAGTCATCGAAGGCATTTCATTGGAGCAGTCAAACATGAAAATTGCCTTAGCATGAATCAGTCAATAAACTAAGGTTAAACGTTGAAAGCCAATAGGAGATGAGAGCTAATGATTATTTTAAGTCTTCTGTGTATTAATTTACTTACTGTACTCTTTAATCATTATAACAACTATATGAATTAGTAAAAATCAGAGCAAATATTTAAGATCAAACTTCACCCTGAGATATTTCCATCTTATTCACGCTGCTGCCTTTTGAAGGGGTTAATCAATCATTTCTATTTTAATTATTTGTTATTCAAAGATAGGTGAAGTCAGAGGAGAGGAACTTTTGAAAAATCAGCAAACACTATAATCACTGGTGCTGAGAAATCCTTAAACAGGTGATGGTATGTAAGTGGAGTCTATGAGAGTGGCTCCAATCATAAAGATGGAATCCTCTTAAATAGGATTGGTGTTTAACAAAAGAAATTCCAGAGAGAGCCCTAGTCCCTTCTGCTGTGTAAGGATCCCACAAGCTTGCTCCTTGCTTTCAAGACTTCCAACCTCCAGAACAGATAAAAATTTCTGTCGCTTGTATGCTGCCTCGTCCGTTGTGGCTTATTATAGCAGCCTAAACACTCTCAGTGAGAGGTAACCTTCCCCACCTAGCCAGCCGTTCAAGTATCAGCTTCTTCTCAGCTTAATCCTCCCCAAATACTGGCGATCGACCACATCCATGAGTTTGGTGAAGAACAGGTTAGGGCCACAAGCTAAAAACTGGTCTCTCCACAATCCTTCCTGACTAGAATCTACAAAAGTGAAGCCCCTGGTTCTTCTCTATTGGTGACAATTAATATTCTTCCTTTGAGAAGCAGAATGCAATATCCATGCAATATCTCAGTGCAGTCACATGTTTGAACACAATGTCCCCCCCTCGCATATTAGCCAAAATGCTAAACTTCTTTTACAATTTCTTTTCTACCTCCCCCCGCCCACCTCCACCCATTATTTCCATGAATAAATGGTAAGTCCAGCAGGAGAACTGCAGTTCCCTGACACTCGAGGGAGCAAGTCACTGAGCCACAGGACCCATCCTTTGTGCTCTGATTGTGGGACAAGAAGAATCTCCTGCTGAGCATATCCCCAGTTCTTCTCCTCCTGCTACTTCCTCCCTGTAGTATCTGACTTTCCTCTGGATCAGGGCATTTCTTTCTTCCTTGACAACATAACAATATTTATTGAAAATCCTAAAGATTCCACTAAAAAAAATAAATCAAAATGTAAGTCTATTGCATTCCTATATGCAAAGGACAGACTCAAAGAGAAAGAAATCAAGAGAACAAACCCATTTACAACCCCAACCAAAAAAATTAAGTAACTCAGCGCATTTTAAACTCAGCTCACCAGGTCCCCACCCACAGCAAGAGAAGCTATTTAAGCGCTGCCTTTGCAGGCTGCATGGCCTCCCCAGCTCTGTGACATCATCCAGAGGTCTGCAGACTCCTTCCTGTTCTCCCACAGCTCAGATCGTAGGAGTGGGTGGAAGTGGGGATCCCCATTATCCGTTAGCCTTTCCTTTAGCTTAATTGCAAATGACCATATTGATTGCAGGAGGGCAGAGTGCTCACTCAGCATCCCTAGAGGATCCTGTCTGAGAGGGGTTAGCCTTTTCCTCTTGCCTTTTAAGGATGCATTTGCCTTTTCGCATGGGGTTTGCTGTTGCAATTAATCTCTCTAAATCTGTGTATTCTCTTCTCCCTTTTAATGTTTCTACTTCTATCCTCTCTTCTTCCTTTATTGCCCCAATTCCTTCCTCCCTTCTTTCTTTCCTTGCCTCTTACATTCTCTTTCCCCAGGCTTTCTTTTTTTTTTAATTAATAATAAATTTTATTTTTATATTCCCCATACAATTTCAACCCCCCCATTTTGACCCCAATCCCTCCCCTCCTGCCCCCCACCCCCCAAAAAGTGTCTCTGGTTCATAGTTTTTTGTTGATTTTGATTTTCACTTTCTTACAGTTATTCATTTCTTTCATTCTGGTCTGCTTTTTTGCTGTTTTCTTGGCAAAATAGTAAGCAAAAAAGGGTAAGCAAATTTTGCTTACTGAGCCCGCCATATACTGAGTCCTCTATAGCTGGAAATATGTGTGTTCAAAGACAGAAGATACTGCAGAAGGCATACTGAATAAAATGCTTCAGTGTTATAAATACCAATGCATAAAATGACGATTAAATGAACAAATAACTAGGAGAATATAAAATGACAGTATAGGTCGTACACAAGCAAGTAGGAGTGTCTGAAAGCTTGTAGTACACCTTCATCATTAAATTTCACCAAGAGTTAGCCTTATCCATATTCCAAAACAAATTCTACACATTTTTGCCCACGCATGTATATGATTCAAAATCCAGGATAGCAAATTCATGAGCTAATTTTCCTACACTTCCACTCAATGCCCATGTTAGTCTTTACTAATCAATCACTATTATTTTTTTTCCATTTGGGGTCAGAGCAGCTCCAGTCATTTCAAAACAGCAATCCAAGCAACTTCTATTAGATAATAGAGGCTATCACTAGAGCAAAGTACATTTTTCTTTCCTGAAATATATATTTCCAGAAGTATAGCCACCTGATCATTTCTGCATATGGAATTCTGGGTTGCTTTTTATACTTTTTTCAGTGATCAAAATGTGCTGCGTGATTATACATTACATTAATAATCAGATACAAATCAAGTTAATTAAGAAATTGACTATCCTATAATTTGAAGACAGAATTTCCAACACACAGATTTTATCCTGACAATATCAAAGAACAAAGTCAGGAAAATTGAGCAATTCTTTTTATTTCACCCAGTTCTCTAAGATTTATAAACACCAAAGTAATAATATTTAATTATGTCATTTTAAAAACATAAAGACCAAGATTGATTTTTCAAACTTAGTTTAAGACACTTTTTATTATTTGTATGGGAGAAAGAAGGGAGGGAAAGATAAAACAAGTTGCATTGTGATGATTAGCAGAAACTTACAAGCAGAACACGAGGGGCTATAAAGAAAGAATTGTCCTTAAGGGAAAAAACATTTTATTTCTATTTCAATTGATAAACCTTCAAATTAGTTTCAGCATAATACTTGGAAAAGTGTTCGTTAACATTCACAGGCAATAATATTACCTCAGCTTAAAGTGTCTTTGTGTGTACATGTGCGTGTGTGTCTGTGTGTGTTGCACGAACATGTGGATGTAAACATCCATCTAATTTACCATCACTTACATTTACCTTGACATTTACCTGGACTTTGCTAATGGCATTTATACTGAACAATTTATTCTTAACACATAGCCCACAATGTTATTCTCAAAAGAATCACTTAGTAAATATTGGTCAAGGATAAGGAATCTGTCAGGGAAGCTAATATTGGCTTTGACTTTTTGCATTTTTTTTCATGTCTGTACAAAAAAAATCAGAAGCCATTAGCATTCAAGCCTTCAGCTCTAATATATGTATCATGAACAATCCTGGGAATGATATCAAAGCTATAGGAGAAATTTGAATATTATGATGGGTGGGAGTGAGACTTCATTTACTAAAATGGTTTAGCTACATCTCATTTACCAGATGCTCCTACTCTTCCACATTAAAATTATAGGCCGAGCACTAGATAGTCAAAGAAAAGTGACATTGTTGCATGTTTATTTAGTTGCCAAAATTTATTGTCTTTATTGCTAGATTATCTGTGAACAAGTGAACAGGATAGAAGTGTTCCCTGCCTCTCAGTGAAATGGAGAATACAGAAATGTACATGGCCAATTACAATACACAATGTTAGTATTTACTAAATGGTGATTCGCGATCATGTTGCCTCAGTATCACTGAAGGGGGTTTTAAAAAATACAGACACTCAGTGTAATGCAGATCTGACCCCATGGTGTTGTTAGGGGGAAGTGATGTCCTGAGTTAATCCCATACAGGACTTACTACCATTTTTAAGTACAGCTGCTTGTTTTATGCAAGGAGACAGAACAATTTCCACAATATCAAACCTCTGAGCAAGTGACTACAAATTGCTTCTATATACACAAAGTTTGCACAAGATCCAAACCAGTTTTTCTAATCTACACGTCTGAAACAAACACCCTAGAGAAACAAAAAACACATTTGTGCTTATGGTTAGCCAATGCCATGGGGAAACCACCCTTCCCCAAAGGGCTGAGTAACCAGGGACAACTTTAAGTCCTTTCCACATCAGGCACCACATCTGTTAGTGGGCAGAGTGAGGGGCACCCGTGGACCCCAAACCTGCCTGCTCTAATTGAGTTCTACCATCCACCACATCAAAACAAAACATACTCTAGTGCATGAACTTTAATAGGAAGGAAATTTAATACAATTAGTGAGCACTAAAGAGAAGGGAGCCTGACCTCCCTGGTGTCGCAAGGGGTTAAGACGAAACCTATGAAGCTGCCCACAGCCTCTGCAGCACAAGTTCGATCCCCAGCCAGGGAGCCTACCCACATGGTGCAGACGACCTCTCCTGACTCAACTGCCGCTCCACTCAGCAGTGTATTTCAGTCAATCCACATGTTCTGCTCCCCACTCTGTCTCTGGTGAATCCTCTCACCCCCCACACCTCTGGCCTGTCCCCAGCTCTTATATGCATAAATAAATAAGTCTTTAAAAGAAAGAGAGTGAGAAGGGAAACATAGATGAAATCGTTTTCATACAAAACACCCAAAGTCACCCATCCCCTCATAGGTAATACCCAGTCAAAAAGGGTTGGCCCAAAGCAGGCCCACTGAGGCCCAAAAGCCTGCCACTAGTCTAGGTGGGGTCCCATAGAAATGGGGCAGAAGGGGTCAGGCAAGTCTGGAAGGAAAAGAGTAAAATCCACATCAAGATAAAAGCTGCCGTAGTCAGCCTCCCCACAAGTCTCTCACCCACGTCTGTTTCAAGTGTCTCCTCCTTCCAAGTCTCTCAAATCCCTAGTACAAGTCCAAGGCTAAGAAGCAATAGCAGCTTCTTCACAGGTTTCTCCACTTCAAGTGCCTCTCCCAGACCCTCTCCTTGCTGCTCTCTTTCCTTTTCCCTGTCTGGGCTCACCTCCCTCAGCTCCACCCTTCCTTGGGTGGGGCAGGGAATATGGAACCTACCCCTACCCTGAGGATTCTCCTGGTAATTTTAGGATTCTGCTCCAGGCACCTTGACCCAAAACTGTATATTTGCATGGGAGTCCTAGAGATAGCACATCCCCTGGAGGAAGTAAGACTTAAAAAAGGGATGTGAAGTTATCCTATAAAGGCTATGAGCAGCTGATACCAGGGTGAGTGGAGGGATGGGTGGGTGCTGGTGGTCACAGTGACTAAATTGGGAGCAGAAGAGCATTACAATGGAGAGAGCAGCACTTTCAATGCAAACATGTCTGTTTTATGTTAATGTCACAGCAAACACTGGCGGGATACAGAGATAAGGGATCTAGAGAAATGCAACCAGAGAAGGAAGCTTTAGCTTCCAGAGGGCCTTGGAAGGCCTCCTACAGTGTTTAGACTATTTGAATAGTAATTGGCATAATATGAATTTGAATAGTAAATGGCCATAGGGCCTTGGGTTGCCATGGTTTCTGACCTATGCAGTGGTCTAGGTGTTTTGTCCTTTGATGATGCACAGAGAGTAGGAGGACAGCACAGTTTGGAGAAAAGGTGAGAAATTCAATTTTGAAATGCTCCTATTACCATTTAGGAGTGGCCAATGGCTATAAAATCCAGCGCAAGGTACACATCACCAACAAATATCAACTGAGCACTTCTTACACTGCACCGTGTGCTACATCTAGGAATACAAAGGTGAATAAGAGAAGACATGTAGGCCATGCCTAGACTATGCAGACCTTGCATTGGGATGTTTATTGATGCCCTGAGAGTAGAAAATATCACCCAAGAAGGGAATTTGGTTTAAATGCACTTAGAATTTACATGTTGAGTGGCAAACAGAGGCGCTATATAAATGTTAACTACAAAATAAATAAGCAAAAATCAGAGGGATCATCACAAAGCAGAGAATTAAGATTGGAAGTGATACCCAATGATCCAAAGGCCATGGAGGCCTCTGAGAACTGAAGGACAATGAAAAATAGAAAGGCCTTGGATGACGAGAGGGGATGAGATGGAATACCGTGTACAACATATGTTGGGTTCCAAATGCCTGGAAATTTAGCCTAAAAAAAGGTGAGATTATTTCAGGGTTTTAAACAGGAAAACTAATTTATATAGTTCTAAAAATATTACCCTGCCATTGTGTGGAAAATTGATTTTGAAAAAGGAACGGTGAAAGTGTTATAGGGCCACCAGAAGCACAGGTTGTAAACTAGGGATGGCTTATAAACCACCCATGGATGTTTACAGAAGCAAAATCACGTGCCATATACAGGTGTATCTTGGTTGTAGTGGCAGAAAGGGGCACTGAGCCGGTTTTCTGATCCAGCAGACCGGGTAAAAGAGGAGGAGAGTCCTGGATGTCTCAGTGGCTTTTTAGGCTTTTCTTGGGATTTACCAGGTACACAGCAGGCAGGGGTGCTGGGAGGCCAGGAGGCGGGCAGGCCTCCCAGCCCCCAGCATGTCTTCACTCTATCTGGGCTCTCTGGCCTTCTCTCGTAGTTCTGCATCTGCTTCTGCTGCTTCTCTTCTGCTGGAGTCCCCATGATGCCCACCCTTAAAAGCCCAGTCTTAGCCCGGGTGAATACCATCTACCTATGCCCACACCCTACTCCAGGTGCCCGCCATCAGGCATGCATTCAGGACCACAGGGTTCTGTCATCTATCCTAACGGTGGGAGGGCAGAAACCCCTGATACTTTTTACCTTACCCTACATTGGTCAACCATGTTGGACACCAAACTGTTACAGGACAACCCCAATATGAAATGGGTTGCCTGATTTGGGGTCCTCACCTGTGCGCTCAACAGTGACATAGAAAAATCAAACTGCAGACACACACAGAAAGGTTAATAAAGGGATTATTTACAAAAGAAGGGGAAATGAAGAAATGAATAACTCAGGGAGAAAGTGAGGGAGATAAATTGGTAAAAGTGTCCTACCTGTTACGCTGAGTTGGAATCCGAAAATCATGCTGAGAGGTGGTGAAAAGCCAAGAGCCAAGGCCCTCCTAAGGCCCATAGGTCTGGTTATATACCACACCTGGCTGCTTAACTCCACCCTCAGTTCCCAGCAGGCCTCCCTTCGGTGGTGATGACATTATGGGATTTGTAGTTTTTGGTGTCCTGGATCTCTTTTGTCGGGAGTGGGGGATGGAGTCCATAAAACCTGTGTTTGTGGAGTTCGTTCAGGGCATCCTTTCTCCCCAACAAAAGCAGAGAGATGCCTTAGGAGTCTGTCAAATATACCAGTTAAAGATGATGATATGTTGGTGTAGAAGGGCATGGATTCGGTTTATTTTCCGAGTGAAGAAGGGACTTGTGGATGGATGAAATGTAGGGAAATGAAGGAAATAGACAAAGATAACTCCTGATTTGGGGGAGCAGTGGTGGAGGATAGGCCAGTGACTGAATCTTTAGACACGCTCATAATGTTTTGTTGTGTCTCCAAAGGCACTGTATGTTACTTACAGAGGCCTAGCACACTTCCTGCCCCTGGTTTCTTCCAATTATTTCTAATATGGCAGTCTGAGAATGAGAAGCACTTATTGGATGATTAAATAAATGAGAGAATATGTCCTTATGCAGAAAATGAGGCAGCTACTTTTGTGCATTGCATTTCTACTGTTCAGTTTTACTGTGTTTCCCTACAGCATTTCTCTAGCATGGAGTGCTTGATTTTTATTCAATAAAAATAAGTTGTACATTATACATTTCCTTATACAGTTAGGAAAAGAAACATGGAAAATCTTCTAAAGCAGATTTTTCAGATAGAGTAAATTTCTCCCAAGAGAGAATATTAAGTTCTAGGTCTTTTGACTCCAGAATGGATGGTTTTATGGGAAAAATTCACGTTCAATAAGTACCCACATATGTTTGATATCGTTTTGATGCGATTTAACCTCACAGTTATCCAAAAGGGGATGCTTATTATTACTATTACTATTACTATTATTATTTTTATGACTACTACCATATTATAGATGTGAAAAGTGACACCCCAGAAAATGAAATGATATGTGTAAGGTCATTTACAAAAAAGGAATCAGGGGCATATTCAGTAACAAAAACCATGCTAACCATCACTCATAGTTTTTGCTTTTCCTCGATTCCTTGAATTGGGTTGAGTCCTTGTTTCAGAATCAGAGTATTGAGTTCTTTCCACAAGAGAGGAGGATCATCAATTAAGTGTATCTTAGATACTTCCGACCTTCAAAAGTAGTACAGGGCAGGGAGAGGGACACCCCAGACCCCACAAACCTGTCTGATCTAAATAAGTTCTGCCATCTGCTGCATCAACACAAAACATATGAGACTTTAATGAAAAGGAACTTTAATACAATTAGTAAACAATACAGAAAAGACAGAGAATATAGTTTCTAAATGAAGCACCCAAAGTTACCCATCCCCTCGTGGGTAAAAATCCACCCAAACAGAATTGGCCCAGAGCAAGGCCCAAAAGCCTGCCACAAGTCTAAAGTATCTTCCAGTGGGGACCCCCAGAAAAGGGTCAGAAACAAGCAGACTAGTCTGGGAGGAAAAGAGCAAAATTAAAATCAAGATAAAAGCTGCCATTGTCACCTCCCCACAGGTCAATCCCACATCTGTGTCACCCAGTCCACGACCAAGAAGCAAGCGCAGTTTGTTCACGTGTCTCTTGGCTCCATGTGCCTCCTCCAGGTCTCCTTCTGGCTACATCCTGCATCCTTCCTTCTTCAGTCTCCTCTGCAGCTTCTTCTCTCCCTGCTCAGCTCCACCCTCCCTTGGGTGGGGCAGGAAACCTGGAACATCCCCCCTTCCTGGGGACCACCCTGTTACAATATTTCCACTGAATTCCAAAGAGAGGAATAATCTAATACTCTGTAAACAGGGTCTAAGCCAACTTGAACAAAAATTCTTAAATTAATTTTAATTAATTACTTGTAATTTTTAATTATTTTTATATTAGAGAAACTTCATCACTCAAGAGTTTGGGATCAAGTGGAATTTAGCTACACAATCTTATTAGCAGGTGTAGGATAAGGTAAAAGATATCAGGCTTTTCTGCCCTCCCGCCATCAGGATAGATGAGGGAACCCTGTGATCCTGATTGCATGCCTGATGGCGGGCACCTGAAGTGGGTACACCTGGGCTGAGAGACTGGACTTTTAAGGGCGGCGTCACAGGGACGCCAGAAGCCGAGAAAGCAGCAGCAGAAGCCGAGATCACCAGAGAGCCCAGATAGAGTGAGGATTTGCTGGGGGCCGGGAGGCCTGCCAGCCTCCTGGCCCCCCAGCACCCCTGCCTGCCATATGCCTGGTGAACCCCAATGAAAGACCTGCAAAAAGCCACTGAGGACTCTGAATCCTCCTTTACCCGGTCTGCATGGGATCAGAAAACCTGCACTGGTCCATTCCTGCCCCTACAGCAGGTTATAACAAAAGCAAGTTTTAGGGCAATTCTGCTGTCATAAATATTTATGTGTAATCAAACCCCAAAACAGTTAATATTAATTCTTCTGTGAGCATGATGAATCTCATCTTCCTGCCTTTGTAAATGCCCTGATCACCATCTTGCATGAAACTTTTACTGCAGCTAGAAATCACAACACTGTCGAGTCCTGAAATTGATTTTGATAGTCAGCATCAGACCACAGAGGATAAGAAATCAAGCGTCTGTAGTCATCCCTAAGAACACAGGCTTTGGGGGCCTCCCTGGTGTTTCAAGGGGTTAAGTCACAGCACTATGAAGCAATCCGCAGCCAATGCAGCACAAGTTGAATCCCTGGTCAGGGAGCTACCCACATGGCACAGCAGACCTCTCCTGTCCTTTCCTCAGCAATGTATTTCAGTAGATATGCCTGTTCTGCTCCCCACTCTATCTTTGGTGAATCCTCTCACCTCCCACACCTCTGGCTTACAC